TATATATATATATAACATTTCAAAACAATACCTCCAATAACCAACCAATAATTAGCAGCATGGCCTCCACTTCAGTGTTTCATGTTTAACTCCTATAATATCACTGTCTATTCATGTAAAAATAAAAAATTTAGCTCATAATTGCATTCACTACTTCATGACTAAGTTCAGCAGGCTGGTGCGAGGAGAAGATTTATTCCTGTTTGCAATGTAAGCTTTATTAACAACCACATTAGTGCTTAAACCAATCACAGTCAACAAAGTCTATTACAAACCTCCTCTCCCAGCACCCCCCCCCACCCACCCTTTTTCCCATTTTTTTTTAATAAAATGCACTACATAACTATGATTACGAAGTTATTCAAAATTTATACTTGAATTAACCTCAAGAATAATCACAAGTGTGAGAAACACAGCCACTCTGTGTTAAAGCTAAAGTTGGATCACTGGTACTGACGGTGCCCAAGCAGCTTCTCAGTGAAAATTGGGGAGAAGAAAAAATAAAATAAAAAAAATCTTCACTAACATTGAGAACTAATAAGGACACTCGAAGAAGTCACATCTGTCAATTTCGATAAGATACCCAATGATAAGAACATAAAATACAGGATTTCTTAACATATTACTGACACGAATATTGCAAGACAACCAGTAACAGTACAAAATTAACAGAAATTTGTTGCACAATAATACCATTTGTTATATCATTAACAACTTTTGAAACAAGATCTTACTTGGTAATACAAAGTTTCTTTATCACTACAAGTCGTTTCACATTTTATACAAAAATCCTGAATGTTGGAGTATCACAAGTAATGTGAAATTGTTCACATTAAAGTTCAAACCAATCATGGGGTCAATTTGTAAACTGTGTATTAAATAGAATACTGTACTATATAGTACCAATGCACTAATTCATTTTCCAATTGTAATGTAAGTCCTTCAAAATACCAGGCATATCACAATTGGTCAAAATAGAAAGTTCCTGTACTGCCTTACAAATTAAAAAATCTGTACTATGTATAAAAACTAGTGAAAAATAAATCTGTTCAATAGAGTAGCAGTATATAACTATGTACGTAGTCTTGTTCGACATTGCTCGAGTCAAGATGAAGAAGATTAAAATACTTTGCCCAACATGTCATCATCACCTGCAGAGCACAGGAAAAGTACAAGGAAGGAGGAGGAGCCGTGTGCGCGCTTCCAAATGGTGAGGCAGCAAAGAAGCATCAATCAAATTTACACCAAAAGAAAATACGAGTAGTCTCCTGGGGTAAGTTGATTTTGTCTTTGCTACCTTACTGAAAGTTTTCTTATTGAAGCAAAGAAAATATCATGTAGTAGAAAGATAGAAAATGAAGTGTCCCTAACTAGCACTTTAAAAGTGACTAATAAGTGTTTGAAACACACTGATAAAAGGATATTTGTGAATTTATAATTATAATTTACAAAATAAATGGCAGGTAAGGTACACCATAGCATATAAGCTTATATATGTGGCATCCAACAACATTGGTGCCCTTAACTGTGCAACATTAACTCTTGAGGCATGGTCTGGGGCCACCACTACTGCTGACACTTGGTTCAGCACACTGCTGTTTGGCATCAATCACATGCGTCACATCACAGACTGGGGTACAGGCACTTGACTGTGGCTCAGAGCCACCTCTCTCCTTCGCACTTAACACCAAATTCCCACCCACTGTACCACAGGGGGCAAAACATCCACTGCTTTGAGACCGAGCAACCACAACTGTACTACTGACGGGTATTGTTATTCCAGCAGTGTTGCAAATAGATATGGATGTATCTAATGTACTGCTGGAGGAGACCACTGCACCACCTGTATTAACAACAGGTATGGTAGTACCTGCTGTACTGCCAGGGGCTATGGTAATACCTGCTGTACTGCCAGGGGTTATGGTAGTACCTGCTGTACTGCCAGGGGCTATGGTAGTACCTGCTGTACTGCCAGGGGTTATGGTAGTACCTGCTGTACTGCCAGGGGCTATGGTACTACCTGTTGTACTGCCAGGGGCTATGGTAGTACCTGCCATACTGCCAGGGGCTATGGTAGTACCTGCTGTACTGCCAGGGGCTATGGTAGTACCTGCCGTACCGCCAGGGGCTATGGTAGTACCTGCCGTACTGTCAGGGGCTATGGTAGTACCTGCCGTACTGCCAGGGGCTATGGTAGTACCTGCTGTACTGCCAGGGGCTATGGTAGTACCTGCTGTACTGCCAGGGGCTATGGTAGTATCTGCTGTACTGCCAGGGGTTATAGCAGTATCTGTTGTACTGCCGGGAGTTATAGTAGTACCTGCTGTACTGCCAGGGGCAATGGTAGTACCCGCTGTACTGCCAGGGACAATGGTAGTACCTGCTGTACTGCCAGGGGCTATGATAGTACCTACTGTACTGCCAGGGACAATGGTAGTACCCGCTGTACTGCCAGGGGTTATAGTAGTACCTGCTGTACTGCCAGGGACAATGGTAGTACCCGCTGTACTGCTTACAGGTGCAGTTGCAATAGCTTTACTGCTTGGGGATACTGTCATAATTTCCTTATTACTTACTGGCAAAGTTTTATCAGATGAGCTGCTCAAAGTTCCAACAGTACTTTTACTGGGTGCAGATGCAACTACCATACAAGTTGCAGATACAGCAGTAGTTACCGTGTCATTTTGGGGTACAGATATACTTCCCGTACTACTTATGGGTACAGTTGTACTTCCTATAGTGCTTGAGCATACAGCTAAACTTGCTGTAAAACTCTGGGGTGCAATAGTACTTGCTGTACTAGTGTGGGGTACAGTAGTTCTTGCTGTACTAGTATGGGGTACAGTAGTGCTTGCTGTACTAAAGGGTATAGTAGTACTTGTACTACTTTGTGGTACAGTTGCACTTGCTGTACTACAATCGGGTATAGTTGTGCTTGCTGTGCTACTTTGAGGTACAGTTGTATTCATTGTACTACTCTGGTGTATAGTTGTATTTGCTGTACTACTATTGGGGACTGTTGTATGTTTTGGACTGCTGGAGAGTATAGGCAAACTTCCCATACTACTTAAGGATAAGGGTGCACTTGATATACTGCTTAGGGGTACTGATGTGTTCACAACATCTCCATTCAGTGCAGACATAGTTAATGTACTGCTTAGAGGTACATAAGAGGTACTGACTAATGGTGTAACAGATGTGCACATCATAGGTACAGTTGTACAAGCAGTACTATTCTGTACACCCATAACACTGGTAACAGATGGAGACTTTGTTACTAATGTTGCTGTGGTCATAGGCATGGTCACAGCAGCCGTAGTGAAACTGGTAGGCATAGTCAAAACACTGCCCCCGCTGCTGCTTGAAGGAATGGGAGAAAATGCTAGAGTTTCTGTGGGCATTGTTAATACAGCTGGATCTCTATAAGGTATACATGCAAAACCTGTCCTGTTGTTAGTTGATGCAGATACAAGTGATGCACTGCTCCTGGGTGTGCTCCCCGCAGTTACATTAATATAAGATGCTGACTGTGGGGCCTGTGTAGTATTTAAAGACTGTGAGATAGATTGTAAAGTGCTTGGTGGTAAATTCATTGAAAGTGCAGTGTTACTTGGATAGAAGGCTTGGGGAATTGACACAGGACAGGTAGGTATAGAGGGAGCAGAACTGTTGTAAGTTAAAACTGGTAATGAAGTAGATACATTACCCAAGGAAATAGGGAGTGCAGCTGATGAATTGCACAATGAAAATGACATACACGTAGTTGCAGCTGACACTTCAGGAGAGACTAACGTATTAGTTAGAGGTAATGACAGAGAATTTACAATACTGTTTTGGTACAGCGGAGGGATATTTGAGGAAACCGAAACATGTGTTCCATGAGGAAAATGTAATTTATTCCCAGAAGCACTAGTTACGGAAGTATTCAACCCACTTGTTAAAATAGATGAACTGACCGGGGAAATCGGATACAACGAGGATGATACAACAGAGCTAGGTAATGAATTGGAAAGTCCACCTAGAAGACCAGATATTATGCTATCAACGTTTTTAGCTTTGTCCTTGGTACTGTTAGCTATTCTTAATTCTGGCTGTTGAGATATCCCCTGGTGTCTAGACAGAGGTGAATTCGATTGGGAAACCCTATTAACATGTGTCTGCATTACTGCACCCTGGGCAGAGCACAAAGATCTGGGAGATTGTGGAGTATGTGGTCTGTTGGGCTTCGGAGACTGAGGAGGATGAGGCATACTGGATTGTGAGCTCGTGGGGGTTACTACTTGCATGAGACAGGCCCCAGGGTGATTACTAATCATAGCTCTTGGAGACTGAGGCACATGAGGCTTAGATGAATTCAGGGAATTACAAGCATTTTTGGGGGACATTAAAGTGTGTGAGAGTGATGTTTGTACACATGCATTTTGTTTGTATGATGAATTTTGTGGACAGACAGAAGTAGAGTTTGGGACTATCAATGACTCTGGAACTAAGTGGGTTGATGAAGACATTTGTTGGGACCCAAACTGAAATTTCTCTGACTGGCCAGATACTGTTATGCACTGGGGCTGGGTAACTAGCAAACTAGTATTATTTAATCTATGAGACTGACTAATTGCTGGCTGAAGATTTGAAAGTTGTCTTGGAGACTGAGTTTGCGGTCTTGTAGTCTGTACTGAAGATAATGATTTGGGAGACTGAGGTGTAAGTGGCCTTGAAGACTGATTTGTGATAGACTGTCTAGGAGACTGAGCTGGATATGGCCTCGGAGACTGAGTTGATGTTGGAGTCCTAGGAGATGGAGGAGTCATTGGTCTTGGAGACATTGTCTGAGCAGGAACCTGAGATACCAGAGGTACCATAGGAAGGAGGCTTGATTGCAAAGGTAGTTCTGGCATCATCTTTGCCCCTCCAATGTTCCGTGGGCTAAGAGGGGACCGAGGTGGGAGACATGCAGGGAATGTTGGGATAAATGAAGCAGAATGATGTGGAGGTATAAGGCCAATAGTCTCTGCTCCTTGATACAAATAAGGGTATGCTGGGTAGGCCAGGGAGGGATTAGTGTAGTAAGGCAATGGAAGAGTACCAATAGCCCCTGGAAAAGATACCCCACAGGAAGGAATTATACTAACGCCAACTGCTGGTGAACCTAGAGTAAGATGCTGTTGTGGTTGTAGGCCAGTATTAGCAGCGGTCAGGGCATTAACTGTTTCTGCTTTAACTTGAGTGAAACCAGTAGTCATTCCTGTTGAAACAGCCATTTTCAGATGATTCATGAGATTGCTGCTGGCAACAAAGCTTGCCATGCTGTTTCCAACTAAACCAACTGTTCCACCACTGGCTTTATTTTCTGCCTTAGAAATACTTAACCCACTAACTTCAGCTTTGGAACTACTACCTGTTGTATGAGCACTTGATAGTTTTCCACTTCTATTACTGGTACTACTATTGTTGTTTGAAGACCTCCCATTCTTGGTAGATTTATGTTGTAGAGTATTTTTGTCTTGCAAAGTTTTAGTATTACCAATGACTTTTGAACTTGTATTTGTACTTTCCTTTAACCCACTTGTTATTGATGCAGGCAATGTGAGAGCAGCTTTGGTATTGGTAACTATTGTGTCTTCAACTTTTGATACAGCAGCATGAGCCTCAGGAGCTAATGATCCTGTATGAACACTATTGGGGAGTTTCTGGTCAACAGGCTGTGAAGTTAATGAAGTTTGAGTCTTTGTTTCTGCTGCTGTAGACTGTACGGAAGACACAGAGGAAATTGAACTCGAGACTGTAGTTGGAGGATTTGCATCATTATTAACTGGCACAGATACAGGACCCAACGTTTTGGGGTCAAGTTTTAAAACTACACCACGCTTTTGGGATCCATTACTATCAACCATATGCGAGTACATTGGTTTCACACCTGCAGATGGATTTCCTAAAAATCGAGGAGCATTGCGAGCTTTAAAAAATTTGTTTGTCCGAGGGGGCTCTTTGTTGCCCTTGCCGATTGATGATTTACCAGCTACCAAAGCTAGCTGTTCTCTGGATATTGTAGGGTTCCAACTTTTAGGGGGAGTTTTCAAGGTTTTGTAACCATAAGACTGTGAAGACTTCCTGCATCCACTGCCAGGTGATGATTTCATTGCTAATTCTTGTTTGGCATCCTTCTTTGAATTTAACCCATTGTTAGGCTTTTGTTCTTTACTTTTATGATCCTCTCCTTGAGAAACTTTAGATGTACCAACTTTAAGATGTGGCTTATTTAGGTTAGCCATACTTGCTGCAGTAAGGCTTGCTGGAATATGACTGGACCGAGAATCTTTAGTGTTACTGTCTTTCAATTCCTTATTATTCTGTAACTCTCCCTGCGGCTTCATATCAAGCTCTTTCTCCACAGGTTCATCTTTACAGTAAGTTATGGGTTTATTATTGCATGAAGTATCAGGACAAGATTCAACATTATAATTAACATTTGGCTTTACTACTTTTGTTTCCTTCAAATTAGCACTTTCAGATTTTTGGGTAACTAAGGAAGCAGTCTTTGTATTTGACAATTTCATCTTTTCCACCTTTTGAAGTGGTCGATCTTTATTTATCTTTGTATCTCCTTTGCTTCGTATAACTTCACCTATTCTATCTTTAGTTTTAGATTTCTTTGTACCATTACCTGCTTCAAAGGGATTCCTCTCTGCAAGTTTTTCCATAACTTTAGGTGGAAAGTCTTCACAAAGAGACCCACTTTCTATTTTTGACAAAAGTTCACAAGCTTCCGATTCAATGGAGTTGAGCACCCCCTCCAGAGTCGTGTCCCGTCCACACACACTCATCACCCCTGACTCGCTTATTTTGAGCTGCACCTCTTTCCCTTCATCTTCCTCACTTCCTCTGACCCCTTCGCTCTTTGAACTGACATCTGCAGGCACTTGAGAATTCTCCTTTGTTACTTCGGAGTCTTTCAGAGGTCCTGTTGAATTCCATTCGTTTACAGCACTTGCTACCCCATCACCTATGTGTCTATGTACATCAGTGTTACACAAAACAGGAATATTTGTATTACTAGGAATGCAACTCCCAGTCATTGGAACGCAACCACCACTTGGGATTATTGCACAGGGAACACCAGCAGGGCTCATATACCCCAGCTCTCCGGGCATGAATGCAACCCCAACGTTCACACCATTGCTTGGTGTTGTGTAAGCTCCAGAGTATGTCACAATGGTGTCCACTACACTAGATCCACTTATAGCACTTTCGATGTTCATAACACTATCACTAACAGTACCCTGTGCTAATTTAGAATGTGACTCACATTTCACCATTACTTGGGAATCCTTTGCACAAGGTTCAATAATTTCCTCAACTGTATCACTTGGTTTAGCAGCTAACACACTTTTATCTCCAGTTTCTTTAAACTCTGGCACCTCAAAAGATTTCCCTGTCACTGCAGTTTTATCTTTTAAGGTTTCAATCACAGATGTTTCTGCAGCTGATTCCTCCTTTACTGGAGAATCAGAGCCTAAAGCTCCAAAAGCCTGTAAAAGAGGAGCACTGCTGTAGTCAGACAGGCTGTTTGTTGAGTATGAGGACCCATACACAGTATTGGTAACCTCACTACCAACACTTGGTTCCAGTTTTGGCATTTCTTCAGAGGAGCTGAGAGCTTCAGAACTGTAGCTGTCTGGATCTAGCTTGATCTTTTTACTTGCTCTTTCGTATATTTGGTAAAACAGCTGTAATGGCTCAGTCTGAAATAAAAGCATAGGGTTAGAGAAGTGAAAAATTTGCATTTCTAAGTTCAGCATACAACAGAACTCCAATTATTCAAATTGGCTTCATCAAAGAGTGCACAGTAACTGATGAAGAAAACAAATTAGATAATATAGACGATAGTATATATACAAATTAGATAATATAGACGATAGTAAATATACAAATTAGATAATATAGACGATAGTATAGTATACACAAGCCCTTCTGATAACTGGGATATTATCCTGATATTAAGGGTTTAAGTACATGTAATATTACAAATATCTCAAGGTCCTTTGGATATTTTAATTTTTTTACTGAACAGATATTTGGGGTCCGAACAGTAATGTGTGGGGGTGATAAACACTGAAATATTTACAACACATTAACCCTTAAACTGCTCTACACAGATGAGTGTATCTTTGACGTAAAGGCTGACCCCACCCTGAAGCCTATGTTTTCTATCACATCTGAAAAGGTTGAATTCTGGAATCCATATCTCACTGTCATAATAGTCCTTTGTGTGAGTTTCTGTTAAAGTTGCAAACATTGCATTTGCCTCATTTAGGAGACCAGTTATAAAGTGTATTTGGTTAATATTATGTGTTTTGATACCTTGCATGTTGGCAAATATCAAAGATGTTATCATATTTATGGAAGTGCTGAGTATTTTGCTTGGTGTTAATAACACTTTCACCCGGTAACGACACAGCATTGCGTCGTTTTTTTAATTGGAGCATTCCCGGTAATGACGCAGCATTGCGTAGTTGTCGGCGGCAAATTGGCGGCGGCTTCGGGAGGGGCGCACAGCGGTTTTGAATATTATATGCATATACTCTTGTAGGGAATTTCATTGTGAATACATTGATACCAAAATGAAAGACCTAGGACCAAAATTGAGGTAACAAAGTTGAAAACTGTATACCCATTTTATCAGCGCTCACTGGAATCATGCTCCGTCACTTTCTCTGTTTGCTGTGGGTGGTACGCCTGGCTTTTGGACTTCATATTTGCATATACCCCTGTAGAGAATTCTATTGCAAACACAATGTTACCAAAATTAAAGACCTAGGACGAGAATTGAGATGTCCAAAGTGAAGAGAGTGTACACATTTTATTGCTCTTATGCGCTCCTGGGTAACATACACTCACTTTCCCAGTTTGTTGTGGATGGTACGCCGGGATTTTGGACTTTATATGTCTTTAGTCGTGTAGTGAGTTCTATTGCGAACACAATGATACCAAATTGAAAAACCCTGGACAAGAATTGAGGTGACAAAATTGAAGAGAGTATACACTTTTCAAAATTACCGCGCGCTCCCGTGAAACGCTGGAGCCCACCTGGGACAGTGCGGGACTCGTGGACATGGTGCGTCAGTGTTAATATCTGTGCTTGCCCCATTTTCAAGATATCTCACGGTCCTGCTTGTCCTAAATGATTTTTCAAACACTTCTAAAATATATACAATAGCCCCATTCAGGGGCTCTATGGCAAAATAACAATAAAGAGCCTTTTTGCACCACCATGCAAATATCTTGCAAGATTCAAGGTGATACATTGCATTTTTCATATAGACTACAAATTTTGGAATATAACAAAATTCCTTCAATGAAATCTACAGTATTAGGTATGAATTCAGGGAACACCTAATTTGATATTTACTTAATTTATGATCACAACTACAGCCAAAAACAAATCAATAAATTAAAGTAAAACTTATGAAATAATATCCAAGACAGACCAAATAAAAATAAACACAAACCCTTTGCCATGCTGTGATATAAGCCACATCAACAAGCGTTAAGGTCTCGTGTAGTGGATCGTCTGATGAGCTAGTGAGAATAGCCAAGGGATGAGATGGACCAACTCCAAACTTCGCTCGCAGTAATCTCTTTAACTGTGCTACACTAACTCCAGCTGGACACTGGAGGTAACGCACACGGCCTCCCAGTGGATTCTGCAAAGCATAGCTTGCTGTTAAAAAAAATTTTAAGTTCTAAAATAGTAAATAATAATTCACCTATTACTATATAACAACTTGCATAAAATGCAAATGAATGTCATGTCTGTTTTTTGGATGACGAGATGTATAGAATTATAATATGTCGCACTGTATGCCTTCAAAGGCATTCATTTAGTAGTACAGCACATATGTTCTGTCTAAACATAAGAAACTACGATATTAAGTGATACCTTCAAATTCAGGACTATATCGTCCAAAACTGATTGGGATTTGCGTTATGTATAATCAGAATATACAAATGTTTTGTTAATTTTATCAATCACCAAATTTGTGAGTTTTCTAACAGGAAATAATAGAACACATCTATTACTATACTTTACTTTAAAAACTATAACTATAGTTTAATTTAAAACTATAACTATAGTTTAACTATAAAACTATAACTCTACTTTAAAACTATAAATAATATATAATGATTTTTCTGGTGGGAGTCTCTTGTGGCTCCCTAAAGCTCTCGCTGATATGGCTCCCAATTACTAGGTCGCATCAGCTGTGGCACTCATAGGCCTACTGGGGACCAGAGCCAGAATTTCACCCCCTCAAAGAGACAGGGAGATGACAGTCCATCGCCTCACTTAGGAAGGCATCCAAAGTATTAAAAAAAAAAAAAAAAAAAAAAAAAACTGCTAAGTTCAAAATGTGATCAAACCTAATGTGACCTGCCTAATGAACTCCCTACAACTATGTAAACAAATGATCGTAACTCTAGAAATCAGCATGTGCTCAATCACCCCACCTCCCCCATTTGTTTGGAGTGGGTAGGGGCCCAGACCTTCCAAGGGCTTTAGCTCTCAGTTCATAAGCTGATGCAGTCACAACCACATGACTGCTGCAGGGTTCCCAGGTCATATCTCTGCTGTGCAGGCTCCAGTTTTTTAGCTACATGCTTTTGGGATCTTGCCATTTGCAGCATTTCTGTGTAGCGTGAGCCTGGCATTTAGGGTGCTTGGAGCTGCATGTGCTCAAGGGCTGTCTTCTCTGGTACTCGCTAGTGCTGCTCTTGCTCTGACAGTTATCTTCTCTGGTGAATTTGAGGATTGCTCCATTAAAGGTCCTCCATGCTTGAGGTGGCCCTTTGCGTACAGTGAGTCAAGGGTCTTATAGCCCTTCTGTCTTGACCTGGGTTGGATTGGTGGGGGTGCACTGGTGGCTTGTGTAGTTGACATTTATGATGGGGCAAGATTGGCCTTCACAGCCGTGCAGCTCAAGCTATGTACACTTACTTTTAGGTCAAGCATAGCGCCCCGTTTTGTTTACTCATTGGGCCCTGAAAATTCCCAGCAGGTTCAATGTACCTGGAGCATACCTGGAGAGGGTTCTAGGAGTTCTACTCTTCGAGTCCGGCCTGAGGCCAGACTCGACTTGTGATAACTTCGTCCAACCGGATGTTGCTTGGAACAGCCCACAGGCCCTCAAACCCACTACAGTCTGGTTGGTCCGGCCAGAATGTGGCCAAGGATTATTTCCTTAGAACCTGCTCTCGCTTTGTGCAAATTTGAAGGTTGTTCGTTGTCTGTGCCATGGGATAATGATCATTCATTCTGTCTAAGCCATGCCCTTTGTTGAATCGGTGACACCTACGACCCTGAGTCTTGTGGGGTCTAGAATCCCTATGTGAGTCTTAATGAACCCTCTGTATGAAATTTGTGTATATCAGATGCCGATCATTTTGCAGGTTCATTTTGGCCACCTCCAATGGTCTAGTTTGTTGTTTGGATGCCTTGGAGCTGCCCCAAACTGTGTTTAGACTCAGAATTGGAGGTATTGGCGATTCTCCACCATGGCTCCATCCACACCACCTCTTCCTTTCCTTCTGGGTGTGGTTCACCCTCCCTCTGATCTTTTCCCTGCTGCTTCCAACCTCAAAAAGTCTTGAGGATTTCCAGGTTTAGCTCGGGATGTTGCTTGACCAGCTCGGGGGGTTGCTCCTTCCGAATCAAGGTAGGCCTTAAGTGGGGCCTTATTCCAAGTTGTATGCACCTCCTGTGGCCAGTCTGATTTGGCTGGTTTGGCACCATACTCAATATTCAATAAAAACTCTTACTTCTCATGGTTTGTGCCAGTCCTTTAACAGTTTGCCCCTTTGACAGGCAATGGGAGGGAGGGGAAAGAGCAGCTTGCCCAATTTGCCAGCTCTTGGTCTCACAATTCGTAGGCTTTTTGTGTCATCTTGCAGAGCCTGCTGTGGAGTTGGTTGGTCCCCACCCTCCCAGTGGGAAGTTGAAAATTTCCATTTATCTGCTTCGGGTCATTTCAGAGTGGCATGGCATTGTCAAAGCAACCGCATCACTTCAGCAGGTGTCCCATTTCTTTCCAGTCCCCAGAAGAGTGACTTGGCAGAGCTGTTTCATCCTCAAACTTTTGGGGCTGAACTGGTGCATCCCTTGCCCTGCTTCCCAGATGACCATCTTTGCCCTAGTTTGCTTCGTTTTGGATGTAGGTACTTGGATAATCTTCCTGAACCTTCGGAATGCATATTAGCACACTCCTATACGTCTGAGGTTCAGGGACTGGTTAGGTTTTGTAGTAGGGCACCAGGCTTTCCACTTTAGGGTTCTTCCTTTTGGTTTAATTCTGGCTTCCTGGTTTTTACCAGTTTGGCTCGAGTTGTTGTGGTTCATCTTCGGTTGTTAGGCGTTTATGTTCTGGCCCAATGCAACGACTATCTGGTGTGGGATCCCAGTCGGTCCATGTGTCTGCTAGCCAGGAATCTGGTTCTTTCTCAGCTCACAGAGGTTCAAGCTATTGGTGAACTGGTGGAAGTTGCAGCTAGTTCCATCCCAGGTTTGGACTTGTTGGGCCTCGTTTGGAATTCTCGGTCGGTGTCGCTTTCCCTTCCTCCAGTGGCTTTGTGCTAGCTGCAGGACTGCTGTCTGTTGGTGTTGTGGCAATGCCAAGTAACTCAGCGGTTCCTCGAGTGATTGTGTAGGAGTTTGAACTTTGCCTGCATGTTTTTTTTCTACTGGGTAGGGTGCGACTCCACAGGCTCCTCTGGTTTCTCCGGAACCGTCCTCTTTTGCCGCAACCGCAACTGTTGGGTACAGACTCTGTCGGCCCTTTGCGGCTACTGCATTGCAAGCTTCCTGTTCGGGATTTTCAGGGTTCAATTCCTAGGCACCTTCCTCCTCCTTCACTCAATGTTTACATGGTCACCTGGGGCAAAATACAGATGTTGTGTACATGAACTTTGCAAATGCATTTGATAAGTGTGACTATGGAGCGATAGCCCGTGAAATGAGATCAATAGGAATAACAAGTAAAGTAGGCCATTGAATTTTAAATTCCCTGTCAAACAGAATGTAGAGTCCAAGTAAAGTGAAAATTGCAAGTGCAGTGGAAATCCACTTAGGACTGGGGCTTTGTAACCAGCACTCACCAGGCCACTCAGGGTTAGTGGTCTCCTATCCTTCATCAGGCGCACAGTATGGTATGGGTGTTTGTGGCCACAAGGTGGATTTGGCTTCATCTGGGCTCAATGCTCTCGCTCCATTCAAACTGTGCTCCAGTGGTTCATTGTCTACACCAGGGGGAGGGGCTCTCTTTGGTCCATTGTCCTTTGGAGCTGGATGCTGCTAGTTGTTGTTCTGCTGGATTCTCAAGGTTTGGTTCTCTGTACAGTTCACATGTTCAAAAGTGTACAACACTTTCGTGGACAGTCTGTCCCAGTTTCTTCCCATCTCCTTGGAGTGGACTGTCGATGCTGCCTTCTTTTAGCTTTGCAAGACGTTCAGATGCCCCAACGTGGACTTTTTTGCATTGGCATGGAATCGGCACCTTCTTCTTCATGAGGCTCCATTTTCCAATCACGAGGCTCTCGTGGTAGATGCCTTTCGGCTGGACTGTTCAAGGTGGGGAGTTCCTGAAACTCCTCCCCCCCCCAGTCCAGCTGTTGTTCCAGATCCTGGCCAGGTCAAAGACCTACCTGGAGAAGGTGGTCCTTCTGGCTGGTTGACGGCCAGCACAGTCTTGGTTTCAGGTACCTCCTGCTGGATGTCCGAACCTGAACATTTCCCCATGGCTCTGCCTTTTCCAGAAGATTTGCCTGGTGACATACTTTGCTGGTTCAACCTTGTCCTCTGCTCCTTGTATCTGGAGTTGAAGAGCAGAGGAATGAAGCATCCAACTGAAGACAAATAAGGGTTTCATGCATTGCCCCACCATGCACTTTGGCTTATGGTCCAATAATTCTAGAGGATTCAGTGGAATCCCAAATTGCATTGCTTTTGACCATGTTACTGGTATTCTTGTGTTTATTATGCTTTTGAGTGGGTTTTTTCTTGGTTTTGGGTTATCTCTGAACTTCTTCTCATATAATGTGATAATCTGATCCTGGCTAACAGTAGGTAATGGAGAGTCAAAAAGGCCTAGAGCATCTTCCCAAGCTTGGCTGGACAAGTGCTTAACTCGGATAGCTATTGAAGGATACCTCATGAAAAAATTATACAAGGCAGAAAATTACAGGGTTGACCAGAAAAAATCAAGGATTAAATGTAAAATAAATGCCTCTTTCTGGTGCAGTGCCCTCATTGGCTACAGAGTCCCCTAATTAGTTCCAAGACTATCATGCCTCACCAGGCACTAGTGGATCATTATTGCTTACCACACATCACTAGCACGATCTGGTTCTCTCAATCGAGATGAGGGGAGTTCGGGAATACAGGATCAACTCGGGCCAAGAGGAAAAAAACACCAGAAAAGTAGAACACCCCAAAACAAGCAATGGCATAGAGAAACATTGGCAACCATCAATAACTATGTGTGCACTCATTAGTCAATTACCACTGCTAGCTTGTTACACTCCTCAACCAATAGACGGCAGCATCCAATAGCTGAGTGGATAGCGCTTCGGATTCATAGTCCTGAGGTTCCGGGTTCGATCCCCGGTCGAGGCGGGGACAAATGAGCAAAATGTTTCTTTCACCCTGATGCCCCTGTTACCTAGCAGTAAATAGGTAGCTGGGAGTCTGTCAGCTGCTATGGGCTGCTTCCTGGGGAGGGGTGTAACAAAAAGGAGACCTGGTCAAGGACCGGGCTGCGGAGACGCTAAGCCCCGGAATAATCTCGAGATAACCACAAGATAACCAGTCCGCCACATTAATCTGCGCCCAGTGCGGTTTACAAAACAAGTCATTGTGCTCTTCGGCTAGCTTTGGGAGCCACCAAGGAAATGCCTTTCCAGAAAAAAATATTTCTTGTCCTCAATCTTAATTGTGATAACTTAATAAAAACAAAAAATGGATAATATATGCAATTCTGTTAAAAAGTATTTCTTAATTACTTCAATACATTATTAGGGTCCCAGCAGTAAAGTCAGGTTTGTTTTCAACAATCGGAAATTCTGGATTTAAATCCCGGGCTGGACAGAAATGGTTGGGTGTGCTTCCTATCACCTAATGACCCTATTCACATAGCAGTAAACAGGTGCCTAGGAGTTAGTCAGCTTGTTGTAGGGTTGCATCCTAGAAGGGTCAGTAATTCGACCTTTCCTCGATAATAGCCTAACATGTACATATACACTAGCTGCCTGTCCCCTGACACATTGAATTAGTTATATTTAAAATAGCAAATTTACTCACTTTCTTTATTTGGTTAGTGTACTCATCTCCCCTCACTGCTTGTGAGTTAACATTCAAGCAGCAGTTTACTGATGTAGCTGGCATAAGGTGACTATTGTAACATCTGTGGGTGGAGGCAGCTGGTGCTGGGTGTAGTGCCAGAGACACTGGATCATCTGGCAGTATGTACCACCTCCCCACATCACTGCCTCCATCTTCTGGTGTTGCTGGCGACGTCTCGGGATGACAAGAGTAAAATTCTCGCCGCTTACACATTTCATCTGGAAAAATCCTAATACTGTAGTTTTTCAAACTACATATTTGTATATTACATAGGCACACTCTACAATACTTGTGAAAATAAAATTAATTTTACTTTAATGATTGTGCAGTGGAAAATGTTATAATCAAACGATGGGAGTAAAAGATAAGGTGAATAGATCAGTTCAGCAGAAGAAATTTTACAAAGCCAGAAGTTATTTTAGAAGCAAGTTAGAAAATAAGAGGGAGGAGGTAGGTGAAGCCAATGGGAATATTAAACACAATCATTGAAAAATATTAACCAGTGAATGAACGTGTAGGAGGTGGACAGAGTACTTATGTTTGGAACTGAGGAAAGGAATGCAAATGTGAATTATTTTTTTTATAGAGACTAGTACAGAAAACAATTTTGCACTATTGTCAGTAGACTTAGGGTTTTCCTCATAGCTCATTTTAAGCCTACCCTACTATTGCTAAGGTGATCAAAATGCAAGATAAGGGAACACAAGGAACTACCAAAGGAAGAGATACACTCATCAGTGCAGAAGCTGAAGTGTGGCACAGCTGAAGGTACTGATAAGGTTTTACCTGGAGAAGGTTCTAAGAGTTCATCTACTCCCCAAGCCCAGCCTGTGGTCAGGCTTGACTTGTGGTAACTTGGTCCAACAGGCTGTTGCTTGGAGCAGCCCCACAGGCCCACATATCCATTACAGCCTGATTGGTTTGACACTTCTTGCAGAAGCCAGACCATTTTCCTCTTTGCCTCTATTTTTTTAATGGGGTTCATATTTTGTTTACTAGTTGATTTGGGCTCCCAATCAGTCCACTGGCAAGTCAGGGTTCTGGTTCTTTCTTCGCTTGCCAGGTTCAGGTTCCTGGTGAGCTGGCAGAAGTCCCAGTTGGTTCCGTTCTGGATAAAGAAAATGCTAGGACCTGTACTGTTCGGAATTTCATATGAAAGGCACGGAAGATGGAGAAAAAGTACGTCACCTTCATGGCATTCAGCTCCACCGTATCCTTAAAAAAAATTAAGAGCTAGGAGCACCTGATATGACAACCATGTCTTTGCACCCAGATATCTTCCTAAACTTTTCTGTGGGGATTATCAATATAGTGTCCTCAAAAAAACAAGCGTTGAATGTAATGAAACGCCATTTTCTGGGTGAGCCCCGGAGGCTCCCTGGAGCTTATCGGGCTAATGTATGTTATATTAGATAAGGAGTTCAGACCTACCAGGGACCAGCACCAGAACCTGGCCCCTTCAGAGAGGTTTCAGGGAGCAATGGCCCTGGAAAACCCCTTGTGTTTGGGGGTTTTCCTTATCTGCCATCGACCGGGGTTAGGCACCCAGAAAGGTAGGCATAACAAAAAAAAAACACATGGTAAAAAAACTAAAACAAAAAACCAAACAGAGGTAGAAACTCCCTACAATCCCACGGAAACAACCAAACAAGCAAACATCACACTTTACTGCCGCGCCGATCGTCCACGCAGCCCTTCCCGTCCCGAGAGGGGGAGGGGGACGCCCTGGACCTCACCGCGCCGGCTGCCTAGCATCAGTTTGGAAGCTAAGCTTCAACCAGCGCAAAAAAAATGCCGACCGGTGGGAGGAAGGGTTGCCAGGGAGCCTCCGGGACTCACTCAGAAAATGGCGTTTCATTACATTCAATGCAGGTTTTCTGGGGGGAGCCCCTACTTCACCTGAGCTACATGAACACATCGAGCGAAGGCTCGGGGAGGTGCCAAGGCACTGAACCCCGAAAATCCCAAAGAGGAAGCTGGTGACGCAGCACCAACACAAGATTCCCAGAGGTACGAACCCAACGATTGCAAGAGAGGCGGAAGGGGAGTCTCCGAAGGAACTAAACAGACGCCGAAGCCAAACCCGACCCTGCGGGCAGACCAGCACGTTAAAGTTCAGACTCCAGCACAACTGCTCGAGCAACCGCCGAGCAGCCCGGGACCCCCTCATGAACAGCCGAAGGCGGGACCACAGCCACAGCAACACTTCTGGAGGGAAGGACAAGGAGCGGCCCAAGAGCCCTAAACAAGATCCAGCCAGGTCCGAACTTGGGACGGAAACAGATGGAATGGCCTCTAGATCACCAGGAAACCAAACCAGGCGATCTGGAAAGAACCACACCCCTGGCGAGCAGACAAGCGGACCGACTGGGAGCTCACACCAGCCAGTTGTCGAGGTAGGCCAGACACCGATTCCCAAGCAGATTCAGACAGGGCACCAAGATCCGGTAAAGATGCGTAAATACACCAAGTGCCAATTACAAAATAGGGAAAGCAACAAAAGCGGCAAGCCTGAAGCCCCACCGCCAACTGTGCCAGTCCCGGAAAACTGGAGAGGAACGTGCCAAGAATTGACCTGGAGGTCCAGGGCCACCATCCAGACACCCGGCCCCAACAGAAGCCGGACAGGAGACAACAGTTCTCCGATGAGGGCATAGAATCCAAGGCGCAGACAGAAGTTCAGAAGAACCGCAGATTCGCCAGGCCCGTGTCTGCATAGAGCAGGCGGGAACCCCAGAAGGATGGGGCGGATCGACCACATCCAACGCACCCACTAAGATGACATAACGAAGCGCAGGGAAAGAAGCCCACCCCACCAGCCCTGAACACCCCAAAGGGGGAGAAGATGTCTGCCGCCGCACCAGAGGCCAGAAGACAACCAAAAGCGCCCACTAACTGCGGGACCATGCGAGAGTCAACAGAGCAAGCTGCTCCCCCAGCGCCCCGTCAACAGAGAAGGGAACAGAGCCCCTTCCGAAAGAAAAAGTATACATACACATATACACACATATATATATATATTATGTATATACACATACATACATATATACATATACACACACATATAAATACACCCACACACAAGGTGTGTTACACACGTGCGTATGCACATACACATGTGCACACACACACAGTGTACACATGTACATGTACATGTGTACACACACACACGCGTGAAAAGAAAATTACAAGCCGCCGACCAGTGGGCAGAGAGCACCACGCCGGGCAGAGAGCACCACGCCGGCCAGGCGAAGAAGGCACAAAACTGCATCAAAAGGCCCACCTCGACAACAAAACCCCAAAGTCCCAGCACGATCACAACACGTGCCAAGACCCAAAAAGATCAGTCTGCAAGCCAGAAAGACCCTGGAACCCCAGAAGGCAGAACCGGGTCACACACGAGGAAACAATGCCCCCCCGAACCCACAAAGGGGGCCCAAGAGGAAGAAAACCTCCGGAACGAAACCAAAGAACCCAAAGGAATCCGGAATTGAACCAGGGGAGCCCAAACCACCACATTTGCCGGCGGAGATACACCACAGAAAGGCAAAGCACAGCCCCTAGACAGAACCCCCAGGGAAACGGTCAAAACAGACCAAAAACCGAGGGACAAGGTGTGGGAGCAAGCATAACAGACAGGGACACCCTAGGGCCCAGACCCAAAACAGACAAAATGGAAAACCCGGTGTAAAATCAACACTCAAGCGTTCCCACAGGAACAGAAAACGGGCAGAAAACACCAGAAAAGCAAAGAAACGACAACAGGAGAATTAAACCCATGAAAAAAGGTGAAGAAACTCACCCAAGACGCTCACTTGCACACCCAGGCGTATGTAAACAAACCGCAACGCCGCCCTGGTGGCCACACCGGGAAACCGGCAGAAGAAAATGGCCACCAGAACAGAGGGCTGTTACCGACACAAAAGATACGAAAACACGCCAGGAAAAGTGGGAAGCAAGCAGACTGGATGGGCAAAAAACTCCGCCCAGAAACAGAAAACCCAGGCAGGGGCAAACCGCCCCAGAACTGCTAGCAGGCATCCCCCACAGCCCCGGGAACCCGCAACAGAGGCCCCGGGGCAGAGTCTTCCTCCAAGCCCTCCACTCTTAAAGAAAAGGAAGAGTCCATAGGAAAGGCAGCAAGAAAGGGCCGCTGGTAAGACCCAGAAGCCTTGGCAGGAGGAACGGGCTCGAAAACCTCCGTCCCCAACCCGAACGGGGCAGCCCCGAAACCGCCCGAGTCTCGGCCCCAACTAAACCCCGCCCCAATCCCGAAACCCACAGACAGTCTGGAGCCGGGAACAGGGAGGGAAAAGGGCGAACAGCACCTAACCAAAATGGGGTAGCCCCAGGGCATCCGAGTGGGAAACCAACCTAGCGTGTTGCAGCAACCTAACCCAGCTTGCAACACAGATGCCGCCTGTACTCTGAACAGTAATAACATCAGGAGAGTACTGGAGAACAAGCAGAGAATCTCTCTCACAAGACTCCAGGTCAAGGTGTCAGACTGTACAGACAGACAAGCTTCAAACTGTTTACGACCACGAGGGTCAGACCGTGACAAATGGAAGGGATGACCCAAAGGGAAGGAAGGCAAGGGAGGGAAGGGAAGGGGAAGAGAAACGGGGAAGCGGGAAGGGGAAAGGGGAAAGGAGCTATGGTGTGCATATACCATTACATCATCAAGATGCTACTTATCCTTTCCTTATCTTCTCACTTCTTCTGTGTGTGTAAGATTCTTTGTTTTCCTCACCATATGTGAGCTGGCTCAAGATGAGAGAGGTGCTGCAATCTACTAGAAAGCAGTAGAATGGACAAGTCAATCCTATCAATATTTTCCAAAACACCTTGATTCATATCCAGCTTGGAAAATTTTGAAACAAGTGAGAGCTTGGATATTTTTTTTTTTTTTTTTTTTTTTCAGCATGGCATTTTAACACTTTCACTGCCTAATGCTGCATATCAGTCATAAAACCACCAAAATATGGAGTATGCGGGATGATGCAAACGGCGTCATGCAAAAATTTTTGCAATGGCTTATTATTAAGTATAAACATTGTGGTGAATGAGTTTAGCATTGGGTTGTGTGCTCACCGGGAATGCTCAGCTCAATTACGGTGCAATTTGGGTGCCCCGCTGGGCCAACGAAAGTGTTAACAGTACTTTTTGGTCTGGATTAAGTATTTGCCAGTGAATATAAGTCAGCACAACCACCCAGAGAATGGGTATGGGGTGCATAATAAAGAAATGAATAATTATGACCTTGTAGGAATGCTTGAAAATTGCCCTTCAGTGCTGTGATGATGTCATACCAGCCCGACTGTATAATCCACATCCAAGGACCCAGTAGAATCATACAGAAAGTCAATGTCACACCAGCCTGACTGCAGGTAGCATATTTCCAGATAACCAGTTTTTAAGTAGTATATTTCTAGACAATTTCCATTTTGTAGGTAGAAAATTACTAGATCATTTTCTAATAAATATTATTGCAACTCTTGGCATTCATTAGTTATCTTGGGTAGGATTTGTTTAACTGCTGCACTGCACAAAGCGCCTTTAGGCGCTCTAAGAGTTGTGCTAATTTTTGTTTAATTAGGCTATATTTCAATGTTTTTTAATGTTTTCATTACTCTTTGTGTTTTTAAATGAAAATAGTTAAGTTTGGAAACATTTTGACATTAACTGAATATTTATAAAAACAACAAAAATATGTCCTTGACAATTGCCTTAAGAAGTTTTTGCCGAAACCAGGTGCGCAGTGCAGGGGTTAACACAATGGCACATCAACTCAATATCCTTCTGGTAGATGATCCAGGAAATTTCATATCTAACTTTTCACTCAAATTTTGATCCATTCAGTCTGCTGACTCTCAACTCTTCCACCCATTCAGAACTTTTAGCCATGAGTAATACAGTAGCATATATCCAGTATAATGAAAATCACTTACAACTTTGTCATACTAAATGCTATGACTATGCAGATAAAAGCAACTTAAGACACTAGACAAAGATTTACCCCCCCCCCAGCAAAATGCTGAAATATATGCAAACAGAAAAGTATGTAAGTAAACAATGAAGCAAAACAGGCTAACAAGACTTAATATAGACTTTTCAATGTATGTTTATTAAGAACTCAACTTACTCTGATACAATCCTGGAACCAGCTTATATACAATGTCTTGAAGTGTTTTGTCCGGTCGAATGCTAAGCAGAGGTTTCGTCTTGTGCACTTGAACATCACATATTGGACAGAATTTGCTAGATTCTAAGTAACGCACAATACAGGTCTTGCAAACTGAAATACAAATGATAAAAAAATTACTTTAAAAAGAAACGAAAAGTTTTTAAACATTCTCATCTGGAAAACAGGACTTTTTTTTGTTTTTTAAAATGTTTAATTGCACGCTATAACAACTCCACTTCCTCACTCCATCCATTCATAGTAACCTAATATCTTTCATGCCCAATTCCTCTTTGATATTCCATTTCTAAACATTACATGACCTTAGCAGGCAACATAAAATTTAAAAGAAAAAGTTTATTATAAAGCAAATAAGTTCACATGCTGGTTAGCCAAACACAGAAGTAAACACTCAATTCAAATGTACAGTACTAAAAATATATAACATTGAATGTAATAAAAAAAATTCTGGCGAGACATTCAGCAGCTCAACAAACCTGTCTTTGGTACCCTTAGTACCAAGCCTTAGCCCAGCACACCCGGCCTCTGAGGCCCATTCATTGCCTACCAGGACCAGAATTTGACTGTCTACAACCCAAGGGAAGCAAAGAAAAAGAACAATTGCAACAATATTTGTGACTATTTGGAAAAAATTAGAAATCCCTAGGTAAACAGGACAAATAACCATTGCCATGGATCAAATTCCCTAACTGTTACCAGGTGGCACCCCAGGTCACCTGAGACATCAGCCAGCCTGCACTCACACTCTGCAACTGCCAGTACACAACTGGAAACAAGGCTCGGCCAACCATAAAAAACCAGCGCTGAATGTAATGAAACGCTATTTTCTGGACGAGTCCCGGAAGCTCCCCGGAGCTATCCAGGCTGATATGGATATCCCTAACTATGGCATCAGTCGATGTGGGTGGAGTTCTAGGCCTACCGGGGACCACGAGCCAGAACCTGGCCCCCCTCAGAGAGGCACGGGAAGCAATGGCCCATAGAATGCACATGTGATTTTGGAGCATTCACTATCTGCCATCGACTGGGACAGGAACCCAGAAAGGTAAGCGCCACAAAACAACCCCCCTATTCTGGTTAAAAACAACAAAAATAGACAAACGAGTGGACAGAACTCCCTAATTGTAAACGAGCAAACAAGCATGACGTCACACGAGCTGCGCCACATTGGCTCGGCCACCGGCTCCCCAGAGCCGGTGGCCGGGCGGACAGCACGCTGGACACGTGATCCTGTGGTCCTGCGTTCGATCCCGGGCACCGGCGAGAAACGATGGGCAGAGTTTCTTTCACCCATGCCCAAATGTCAGCCCAGGACATGTTACCAAAGATGGCAGCAAGAGCAGTAAACTTACGAATGTCAAGGGCATGGGGAGAACCACAGGATACCTATGAAAAGACAAAGAAAATGAAGGACCACCAGCAAAACCCCATACTGCCGCCATGACGAAGCACCCAGGAGGGACACTATCAGTAAAGCCACCTGACCACTAAAGATGGTGATAGACTCGAGTCAAAAGCACCAGACAAGAAGACTCGAGGAGAAGACCGAACCAGCTCCGATACAGACCGGACCAATCATGAGAAGAGGCGGAGCCGGGGGGAAAACCCCCTGGGATCGGACACCGAGCAAGCAGCGACTGAAACCATGGCTGGCAAGGAACCAGAAGTAACATCCGCCAGGGAACCAGGAACCCAAACCCGGCAAAGAACCAACCTGGGCAAGCAGATACACCCCGTCCAGGAGGAACCCCCCGGGAATCCGAAAGGACCAACAAGGCCAAGAACAGGTGACGAGAAGCCGCCGCTTACCGAAAGAGTCGAACCATAGACTCTGCAAACAGCAAGGACAAATTCAGCAACGAAAACCAAAGAACCAGGGCCCAGGCCGAGGCCAACGAGGAAGTGAGCACCACGAGCCGACACGCAAAACGCGAAGCGAAAAACAGTTACAACTCAACCTGCCGGAGCAGTGCAAACAGCATCAGCAGGGCAGAACGATGCACACAAAGCAGAGTACCAGATAAGGAGAACTACCCAGGACGTGTATCATGCTACAAGTCCTGGGCAGACTAACACACTAACATCAGAGCTGCCTTCAAGAACCCGTGTAAGGAATCATTCAGAACCTTGTATACCACATATGTAAGACCAACCCTGGAGTATGCAGCCCCAGCATGGAGCCCATACCGTGTCAAGCACAAGGCGAAGCTTGAAAAAGTTCTTAGGTATGCCACTAGGCTAGTCCCAGAACTAAGAGGCATGAGTGACGAGGACAAGCTGCGTGAAATGCACCTCACGACACTGGAAGACAAGAGAAAGGAGAGACATGATCACTACCTATAAAATTCTCAGAGGAATTGACAGGGTAGATAAAGATAAACTGTTGAACACAGGTGGTACGCGAACAAGGGGACACAGGTGGAAACTGAGTACCCAAATGAGCCACAGGGATGTTAGAAAGAACTTTTTCAGTGTCAGAGTAGTTAACAGGCGGAATGCATCAGGCAGTGATGTGGTGGAGGCAGACTCCATACACAGTTTCAAATGTAGATATGATAGAGCCCAGTAGGCTCAGGAATTTGTATACAAGTTGTTGACAGTCGAGAGGTGGGACTAGAGAACTAGAGCTCAATCCCCGCTAGCACAACTAGGTGAGTATAACTAAGTGAGTACACTAAGGCAAAAGGTATTATCCAGCACAGGAACACAAGGAAAAGGCCATAGCCAGGGCCGTAAGCCTAGCTCACCCCAGTCCCAACAAAAAGGAACAGGAAGTGCAGGAGTGGGTGAATGGAACCTACAGCCACCAGCAGACATTGCAACACAGAAGCTGGTGGGGACATACAAGAAGATGAAAGAACCTAAGTTCCGCAACTGAACAGCGGGGATGTCCAAGCGCAGGGAACTGAATATGTACACAATACAACCTAGCACTAACACTAGTATAGCCAATAAGCACATACTAAGAGACACACGACAATGTGTAGTATAGAGGTAGGGAACGGAATGTACACGATCAAGAAAATATAAAGACACTCCAATGTAAACAGAGTGCAGCCAAGCACTGAACAATGGCCAAGGAAGGAGTGACCAGAAGCAAGGACTGAGTCAAGGAATGAGCCAGAGAGCCATGACCGAGGCAAAGAATGAGTGCCCAGCAAGGAATGAGCATCAAGAAGCAAAGACAGTCAAGGAATGAGTGTCCAACTGATGTTCCGTGGAACCCATACCCACAATCAACCCTTAACCTGGGGCAGAGGAGCATGGAGAGAAACACACAGGAAGGCCACGTTAACCCTTAACATGCTAGGGGTATAATATCCTTTCTTCCCCACAGGCGCATGTAATTTTGAAAAAAAAAAAAAAATTTTTTCTTCCTAACCTGTTAATTTGTGTTCACTGATCACAGGAAAAATAATAAAAAATCGTAAGTGGCATATATTGCCCGCTATAGGGCGGGGAAGTCTGGCAAAAAATAGGCGCTGACTCAGCGTGTCCCAGGCGGCGGTCTGTTGCTCGCCAGCTGTCAAGCCGGAGTTGCCACAAAGAGATAATTACCTAATTATTTCAATGTCTCTGATTGATTTTTCATAGTTTTTTTGCTGTAATATTATTCAATAGTGTGTAGTTTGATATATTTATATAATAAAATGAGTGAATCATTGCTGTACTCAAAAATATGGTGTGCATATTGTTGATTCAATTATGTTCATCAATCAGTGAACAAATACTTTGTCGGTTATTACACTATAGGCACAGGTTATATATAAGTATCTGCATTTTGTTCACTATAACGAGCCACTAAGTAGCTATTATGAGTCAAAAAGTAACGAGGAGTGACCGCCGTGTACCAGCCAGCCACTCCTGCCCTCAAGTCATTTGACTCACCCACATTCTCCTCCCACAATACTGTTTTTGCTATAATTCACTATATACAGACGTTATACATAAGTATCTACATGCTTTGTTCACCATAACTGTACATCTAAGCTTGTATGGTGAGTAAAGGCACAAAGACGTAGGACCTCACACAGTCAGCTGATGGCTGCCGCCCTCAAGGCCAGACGCACTAATATTTCTCCTCCAAGAATACTGTGTGGTGTTATTACGCTATATACACACATTATATATAAATATCTACCTGTTTTATTCACCATACTTGTACAAATAAACTGGTATGGTGCCCAAAGACCATGGTGATAAACAGTAATGGTGGTAATTATAGACCAGTTGCACTAACATCGCACATCATAAAAGTATTTGAGAGAGTGATTAGGAGTCAGGTCACCAATTTCATGGAGACCAATGACCTTCACAACCCAGGCCAACATGGATTTCGAGCGGGAAGATCGTGCCTCTCACAGCTACTTGAGCACTACGACAAAGTCACTGAGGCATTAGAAGAGAAACAGAATGCTGATGTGATATACACGGACTTCGCAAAGGCTTTCGATAAATGTGACCATGGCGTGATAGCACACAAAATGAAGTCAATGGGAATAACCGGTAAAGTAGGACGCTGGATACTCAGTTTTCTGTCAAACAAGACTCAGCGAGTAACAGTCTCCGTGGTGAAGTGGTAAGACACTCGCCTGGCGTTCCGCGAGCGCTATGTCATGGGTTCGTATCCTGGCCGGGGAGGATTTACTGGGCGCAATTCCTTAACTGTAGCCTCTGTTTAACGCAACAATAAAATGTGTACTTGGATGAAAAAACGATTCTTCGCGGCAGGGGATCGTATTCCAGGGACCATAGGATTAAGGACTTGCCCGAAACGCTACGCGTACTAGTGGCTGTACAAGAATGTAACAACTCTTGTATATATCTCAAAAAAAAAAAAAAAAAAAAAAAAAAAAAAAAAAAAAAAAAAAAAAAAAAAAAACTGTCAACCATATAAAATCTAGTCCAAGTGCAGTGAAAAGCTCTGTACCTCAGGGTACAGTCCTTGCACCGCTGCTTTTCCTTATTCTCATATCAGATATAGACAAAAATACAAGTCACAGCTTCGTATCATCCTTTGCAGATGACACAAAAATCAGTATGAAAATTACCTCGGCTGAGGACATTGAAAAACTTCAAGCTGATATTAATAA